CGGTCGCGATGCCTGTTATTTTCTGCAAGGTAAGAAACTTGTTGACCACAGTCCTGTTCTTGAGGTACGTGACGTAGATGATGAGATGTTTCCCGTGGATGCGGTCAGTGCTTTCGTCGAGCGACAGGGAGATTCAGGGCGACTCCAGAAGGTGTAGCCGCTGTGTCTCCTGCAGGTACATGGCTGTCGTACGAAGGCACTCCTTGAGACCGTAGTTGCAACACAAACATTCAACAGTGACGGTCATTAACAGTCAATAACAATCAATGTTAAAACATTACAAGCAAAACACAACAAACTTACTCTGTCTAGTAGGCACTGTAGCCACCGTTAGAGGAAAGACCTGAATGACCCTCTTCGCGAGAAACCAGCACAGAGGGACGAACATCGCGATGGGGGCGTCGACCTTGCAAATGAACAACGCGATATGCAGGCAGCGGATGATGTTGCGCGTAGACGAATCCGTCTCATGCCACCTTATCAAAGTCGCTTGCTTCTCCTTAGCTGCAAGTGATCGAGCCTGGTTCTCCAGCGGCTGCTTATATGCTCGGGTAGACGAGTGAACACGAATGGAACCGATTTGCAAGTCACGGCCACCCTCACCCTTAGCGTCGTAGACGGTGCGTGCGGTAGGATCCCCGTGCTGAACGCAGATCTTACATTTCAACGACGGCCTCCTGTTAGTCTAGCGATGTAACAGCAACCAATCGAATTTCCCAGCCCACTTAGTGTCATACCTGTGCTTGTACGCTGCGTACTCAGCTTCTTCTGTGGCGGTTGATGGTTTGGGATCGGCAGGAGGTTCTGTACGTGTCGGTGATGCATCCTTCCTTGGTGGCGGAGCGCCCTAGAGCCTTTGTTGAGTGTATTTCACCCCGACCTGCGGCCTTTCGCCTGGCGTGCTGTTTACCGTGGAAGGGGACGCAGTTGAAGGCCTCGAGCTACCTTCATCGCTGCCAGGAACAAGATCCAGAGACGGTTGTGGCTCATGAGCACTAGGTGACTGGGCCCACTCGACTGGAAAGACATAGCCGACGCTTCGCACGAGCGAGGCGTTACGAGAAGGCTGTGCGATAGAAACGGTGAAGTTCTGAGATAGGTTGGGAAGAACGCTAAGAACTGAGAGCCCGTTTTTTGGGCCCCCAGGCGGTTCCTGCTCTTGCTCGGCTGGCTTGACAGATTGGTGCTACTCCGTGAGACCTCGGGGAAGTGCAAGAGAGGCGAGGAAAGTGGGGTCCCTTTGGGAACGAATGACCCCCGCCGCACCACGCATAGCTGTCCGTGAAGCGAGGCGCTGCATGGCAAAATGTCAGGCGATGGCGTGCCAATAGCAGCTCTGACAAGACGAGCCACGCATTGCGGCAGAGTTACCGTGCTGTCCCAAAAACAGACATTCCTGGCAGGGACTATGAGCTGTATAGGCAGCATCCACGGGTGCGCTGGCAGGAATCTTGCCAAACACACCAATGAGTGCAACGTTGGTGTCAACCGGGGGGTTTGGCATTTTCTCACCACAAGGCGGGTGCGACAAAATGGGGGAGTGGCCGCATGTCAAAACTGCTGTGTATGTGTAGTGTAGCAGAATCCTCGCTTACAAGGACTCGGTATCTGTTAGAAACAATAGGAGTGGGGCTTAGGCTTAGTATGTCAGAGGTCCACTGGGGATCCCCGATGATCCTAGGGAAGGGTTACAGGCACGTCGGCCTGGGGGGTTATGGGCGCACTCACCCGCTATATAAACAAGCCATTTTATCCCAGTGGTTAGTGACTGGGATTCTGACATGGTATCAGAGCGAAGGTCTCGGGTTCGATTCCCGGTGTGTGCACTTCGGGCATCCCAGTGCGGGGGGGTGTCAGAGGTCCACTAGGGATCCCCGATGATCCTAGGGAAGGGTTACAGGCACGTCGGCCTGGGGGGTTATGGGCGCACTCACCCGCTATATAAACAAGCCCTTTTATCCCAGTGGTTAATGACTGGGATTCTGACATAGTAGCCTAGGCCCACACTAAGAGGTAGTAGGATGTGCCCTAGGACTAGGGTTTTGGGTATGCAAAGGAGAATGGTGAAGAGAGAATGGAGAATGGTTGAACTAGCAAGCAGCAGGACACACAAATAGCAAACCCTAAGGGGTTGTACTCACTATTGAGCACCCCACTGCAGGCTAGACAAATAACATAATCTGACACACCCCCATAGCCAAAGTGGGGTGTAATCAGCACAATCAGCAGTCACAGCAAAAGTTCACAATTATCAGCAAAGCTAGAGGCTATCACAGAGGGCAAGTGAGGAGGAGGAGGAACTGTGAAGGGAGAGAAGATTGGAGACGACGACTGAAGCTGCAGACACACAGGCGCAGCAGGCTCTCTGAGCTACCAGGACAGTGCGCCCCGGACTACAGGTGCTGCAGCCTCCTCCAACTGTCCCACACCCCCCTACACACATCCCCTGTTTCACCTCTAGCTCCACTCCCACATCACCCCCCTAGCGCCACTCCCTTCGGCTCCCACACGAAGGAGGAGGAAGGGACGACGCACACGGAGCACCCCCATACCTGTCACCCCCACACTCCTGTCCTGGGGACGGGGGGGGGGGGGGCAGCAGAACAGAACAGAGCGCACGAGGGCGCGGGCAGCAGCAGGGCGCACGAGGGCGCGGGTAGTAGTAGAGCGCACGAGGGCGCGGGTAGTAGTAGAGCGCACGAGGGCGCGGGCAGCAGCAGGGCGCACGAGGGCGCGGGCAGCAGCAGAGCGCACGAGGGCGCGGGTAGTAGTAGAGCGCACGAGGGCGCGGGCAGCAGCAGGGCGCACGAGGGCGCGGGCAGCAGCAGAGCGCACGAGGGCGCGGGTAGTAGTAGAGCGCACGAGGGCGCGGGTAGTAGTAGAGCGCACGAGGGCGCGGGCAGCAGCAGGGCGCACGAGGGCGCGGGCAGCAGCAGGGCGCACGAGGGCGCGGGTAGTAGTAGAGCGCACGAGGGCGCGGGTGAGACAGAGCGCACGAGGGCGCAGAGAGCACGGGCAGCTGCTGCAGAGGTCCAGAGGCGGCTGCTCCAGGGGCCAAGGGCGGCTGCTGCAGGGGCGGCTGCTCCAGGTGCCAGGGGCGGCTGCTGCAGCGGCGGGCGGCTCCAGGGGCGGCTGCTGCAGTGGCGGGCGACTCCAGGGGCGGCTGCTGCAGTGGCGGGCGGCTCCAGGGGCGGCTGCTGCTGTGGCGGGCGACTCCAGGGGCGGCTGCTGCAGTGGCGGGCGGCTCCAGGGGCGGCTGCTGCTGTGGCGGGCGACTCCAGGGGCGGCTGCTGCAGTGGCGGGCGACGGGAACGGGGGGCCGCGGGCGACGGGAACGGGGGGCCGCGGGCGACGGGAACGGGGGGCCGCGGGCGACGGGAACGGGGGGCCGCGGGCGACGGGAACGGGGGGGCCGCGGGCGACGGGAACGGGGGGCCGCGGGCGACGGGAACGGGGGGGCCGCGGGCGACGGGAACGGGGGGCCGCGGGCGACGGGAACGGGGGGGCCGCGGGCGACGGGAATGGGGGGCCGCGGGCGACGGGAATGGGCCGCGTGGCGAGGAAACGGCGCGGGGCGACGCGGGGGCGACGGGGCAGAAAGCCGCCGCGCGCCTCGGGGCGCACGGCGGGCAGAAAACCGCCGCGCGCCTCGGGGCGCACGGCGGGCAGAAAACCGCCGCACGCTCCGAGCGCGCGGCGGGATGAAAAATCCGTCGCACGCCACGGGGCGTGCAACACACAGAGTAGCAGTAGCAGCGGAAGCAGTGAGGTGGTGGGCCCATTGAGGTAAGCGGCAGGAACGTGCTCGCTCTGATACCATGTTAGAAACAATAGGAGTGGGGCCTAGGCTTAGTAGCCTAGGCCCACACTAAGAGGTAGTAGGATGTGCCCTAGGACTAGGGTTTTGGGTATGCGAAGGAGAATTGGAGAAGAGAGAATGGGAATGATGGTTGAACTAGCAAGCAGCAGGACACACAAATAGCAAACCCTAAGGGGTTGTACTCACTATTGAGCACCCCACTGCAGGCTAGACAAATAACATAATCTGACAGTATCAGAGTAAGTGGGGGGGGGGGGGGGGGGGGGGGACACTTACGATGTCAGGGGAACGAAAAGCGCACTAAGAATCTATAAGGGTAAACAAAACAAGCACTTTTGGAGTCAGGGTTTAAAGCCTGAGAGGCTGACTGCATCAGGGTAGCAAAAAAAAAAAAAAAAAAACGGACGCCCGTCAGGGCAATTAGTGTAAAATACCCTGACATTTTGAGCCTTGCATCACACACTGTCTGCACATGACAACAAATGCATTAAACCACGGGAATTCTAGGTCCAATAGGAAAACAAGTGGATCTCATAGTGACGCGCCCATGTCACTGGAGAAAATCATTGTATTCTAATACAACCTAAAAACGTATGCCATCTTCATAAGATTCCCCACCATTTTTTCTTATAGTAATCAAAGGCAGCAAAAGTATTTGTAAGATGATCTGGTTCGTAATGCATATAAATGATAAAACAACAAATAAGCATTACAAAGAAATATAAAGTTCCTAGCTAGCCATGTACCCTAAGGGGTACATTCCCTTATTCAATTGTTTTACAAAAGCCGCTACCACAACTGTGACCATCGCGATTCATGCATTTACCTTGTTGTAGTTTGTAACCTCCGAGATAGTTGCGTTCGTTGACGCAGTTCGCAACCTCTTGTCCAGGCTGGTCAATAGGTGCGACAGCTGACTTGCAACAGTTGACCTGCGTGCTCTATATGAGCTAACGCAGTAGTGATACAAGTGCAGTTTTTCTACGAGCAGGTGCGGTAAGGTGTTGCCTTCTAGAATGCTGTGAAACCTTTCGGCTACTCCAACATCCTCCTTTGAGCAAAGTACCCCAGCCCACGGTAAAACACCACCTGAACCAGCAATGCCACCACCACATCCACCAACGCATCTCCCAGGGATGCGTGCGCCCCATAATACATGGGTAGATGTAGAATGTATCTGCTACTTGTTGATCTTCATCCATCTCAGCGCAATGTACCCCAGCCCGCGGTAAAACGCCATTTGCGCCAACAGCGCCACCACATCCACCCACGCGTCTCCCAACGGGAACCCCGGAAAAGCGTCCGACATCGGGCACATAACCGAACTGGGGTCGCTCGCCGGGCCGCATTCGTAGGTGTCAGAGGGGTAGAACTGGGTTTTGACGATGAGGCGGTAGGAATAGTACATGTAGGAGAGGTATTTGATCCAGGCGATGAAGGCGGGGATGGTCTGCAGGTAGAATGTTCCTGCCATCAGAAAGGTGAAGATTACCAAGAGGGCGACCGTGGTGGCTGTTTTGGTGTCCTGCACTGCTGCTCCCAAGAACAGCCCGCAGCCCTGCGCGTGGTAGGGGGTAACATGACGTGAGAGGAAGAAACGAGGGGGAGAGGGAGACAGGAAAGGGAGAACTGGGTTTTGATGATGAGGCGGTAGGCGTACTATGTGAAGGAGGTGTTCCTGATCAAGGCAATGAAGGCGGGGATGGTTTTGTAGGTCGGATCCTGCTGCCAGCATGAAGGTGAGGATGAGCACCAGGGCGAGGGTCGTTGCGACTTTGATGTCCATCATTGCTGCTCCCAAACAGAGCCTGCGGTAGGGGGTGAGGGGAGAACAGAGGGAATATTGAATCAACTGTGCATGTGAGCATGAAAGGCAAGAGGCGAGGGTGTTTGCCACTTTGACGTCCTTCACTGCTGTTTCCAGGAAGATCCCACAGCCCTCTGTGTGGTGACAGGGGGGGGGAAGAAAGGGAAAAAGGAATCAGATGCGCATGCAGCAGAAAGGGTGGGATGGGCTGCAGGTAGTTTTGGTAGAACAGCTCAAAGAAGGCAGCAGCGAAGCCATGAAGTAGCAGATGAGGAGGAAGAGCGTGGGGAGGGACGCAGCAGCACCAGACACGCAGGACCCACCTGAGCCGTGGAGACTGTAAGGTAGGTTGAGAAGAGGAGTCCAAAGAAGGCCGCAGCAGTGAGTCGGAGGGTGGCCATGAAGTAGCAGATGATGGTGAAGAGCGTGGGGAGGAGCCACTCCATGGGAAGATCCGCGAGCTGCCGGCTGAGGTAGTAGGCTGACAGACGGTACATGTCGCACGCCCTCTCCTTGCCCAGCATGTCGCGGTCCTGCGGTGGAGTGCAGTACAATGCAGTGGAGAGGGGTGGAGAAAGGTGACCTTGGGTTAAGTGCGTAGGAATGCGGTGAAATGAAGAGGAGAGGAGTTCATGGGCTGGGGTAGTAGGCCAATAGCCCGTACATGTCGCTCGCTCATCCTTGGATAGGAACGTATGGGGGACAGGTGCTTGCCATGAAGAAGCTAAAAGTTGAGAGGCTAAAGCTGGAATTTGAAAGCTAACCTGGGGGACGACGAACAAGGCGTCGAAGCAAGGGAAGAAGCCCCAGATGATGGCGATGAGGAGGAGCAACGTCCTCTGGTGATGGTGATAAGAATCGAGGGATGTGGTAATGAGCAGCAGGGCACAAGGAGTGTAAGAGAATGTGAAAACAAGGAAAGAGAGGGAAGAAGCCTCAGGATATGGAGATGATGAAGAGTAGTCCCACCTGGTGATGGTGATGAGAGGGGGGAGCAAAAACGGGGATCGACAACAAGGAATGAATGGAGGAGACAAGGCGGTGAAGAAAGGCAAGCAGCACGAACGATGGAGATGAAGACGAGCAGTCGCAAATTCTATGCATTCTGAATTTTCACCTGTTACAGACCTGATTCTGCACCTAATTCTAGCCTGATCCTTCCTGTGAGTTTTCACATAATCCTGCACGTAGATTTCCCCCTCATCCTCCATTCGAATCCCCCACATTATCCAGCATCTAACTTCTCACCTGATCCTGAATCTCCATACTAGTGTTGCGATCCAAACCGAACCATACCATTCCACAGATAACGCCCAACGAGTCTTCACCTGAACCTGTCACCTGAGCTTTCACTTGACGCCGCATTTGGCTTCTCACCTGGTCCCCAATCTCCGATGCAGTGTTCCGGTCCGAGCCAAACCACAGCGTTCCACAGATTAACGCCAACCCTCCCACCTGGGAGTGTGGATGAGACGGGCAGAGCGGGGGACATGGTAAGGGTGAGGGTGAGCGATGAGCACACAGGCTGAGCACATTTTAGGTCGCACGACCTGAATACATGTCCTGATAGAACCGGAGCGGCGATAGCACTTGGTGCCATCTCTCTTTGCGACCGCGCGTACAAAGCACAGACCTGCAGCAGGACATATAGGGTGAGGGCGCCGTCCAACCCCACAGGCTGCTGCTGCAGCAGTGAGAATTGCAGAAGTGAGAATTGCAGCAGCCGACCCCCTCCCCTGCAGCATCACCCAGGAGTCCCTTTCATGGAAGGTGGCCTGTGGGTTCCCCACTCACCTGATAGAAACGGAGCGGTGAAAGCACTTCATGTCATCTCTCCTGCAAACCCCGCGTCCACAGCACCGAGAACTGCAGCACCCACAGCACCGTCTACCCCCGCCGCTGCAGCACCACAGAGGATTCCCTCGCGTGTGGGGTGGGATTTCAGTCCACACTCACCTCAATGATCCGGATCAGTGAAAGCCTTTCACGTCGTCTCTCTCTAAGCCCGCGTGCCCACAGCACCGAGAACTGCAGCCACCACGGCGCCGTCCACCCCCGCCGCTGCTGCACGCTCTTCTGGGCGGCAACTGAGCTCGTGGGCAGCTTTGCCAGCTCAGCATGCACCAGCGGCTCCTGCTGCTCCCTGTAAGCTCGAGCCACGAACTGGGACAGTGGGTGGGAAGGATGGGCGAGGACAGTGGGAATGAGGAATGGGGATTGGGGACGAGAACAAGGTGCTTCAAGCCTCAGCGTGCACTACTGGCTACTGCCGCTCCCTGTGAGCTCGAGACGCGAGCTGGGATTGACAGTGGGAATGGGGATCAGGCGCAAATTGGAAATCGGGATTGGGAACGGGGAGCGCTTTTCCAACAAACAACCGACACAACACACAAGGGAGGTAGAGCGTACTACGCTCAAAGAAGGGAAAATCTAAAGAGTGGCATGCGACTTCTTTTCCATTTTGTTTTCAAAGAATAACGCAGTTCACCTCTTTCATCTCCTGTTGTTGCTCCGGCACGCTCTTCCCATTCCACCCCTCGCTCTCCTTCAACGCCGGTGGCAACCGCGCATGCGCCGTCGTTCCCGTCGCCAAATCCATCAGAAAATCCGCCGGGTTCATCGTAAACCGGGGTTCGAACTCCAGCCGCCCAAAATACTCCATCGCGTCTGCAGCCTTCCCGAAATAAATCGCATTGCCCTCCGATATGAGCAGCAGCTTATCAAACGAGTTGAAAATCTGGGAGGACGGCTGGTGGATGGAGGTGACAACGGTTCTGCCCGATTTGGCGAGGTTCTGAATGACTTGGACCATGCGGAGAGCGGTGGAGGAGTCGAGGCTAGAGGTGGGTTCGTCGAGCAGCAGCATGGAGGGGTCGATGAGGATCTCATGCCCGATGCTCACCCGCTTGCGCTCCCCATCGGATACACCACGAAGGTCCGGGCCTCCAATAATCGTGTTACGGCACCTGAGGGGTGCGGAGAGAGGGGGCATGGGATGGACCACGAGTTAGAAAAACGCCACTTGAAACGCCGCCCCTTCATGGAAGCACAGCAGCACAGTGGCATATGCATGCGCGTCATTGGTCCCTTGATTGGTGACTCACTTGTCCAGCCCCATCAACGTGATGTTCTCATCGGCGCGCTCCACCTTCTCCGCCCAGCTCAGCTCTTTTGGCAGGCGCAGCACAGCGGCGTACATGAGGGTCTCGCGGACCGTCAGGTGTGCGTAGAATACGTCTTCCTGCGGCACGAAGCCCAGCCTGGGAGGAGGGGGAAGACAGGGACAGGGAGACAGAGGGAGAGACAGATGAGGGCAGAGGGCAACCGCAGCACAGCGGCGTAGACGGAGGCACGAAGCCCAGCCTGGGGACATGGGGTAGTACAAGGCACTCCCCCCCACCTCCCTCCCCCCTTCCAGCACGTTCAAAAACTTCCACCTCCCTCCCCGCCCCCCTCACACTCCCCTTCCCCCACTTACCTTCTCTTGAGCGACTTGCTGTAAGGCATGTCGTTGTAAGTGACCGTCCCCGCCATGTTGCCCTGCTCGAAGCGCCCCGCCAGCACGTTCAGAAGCGTCGTCTTGCCTGACCCAGAAGGCCCCATGATTGCCAGCACCTCCCCCGGCGCAACACTCCCGCTTATCCCGTGCAGAATCTCCTTCTCCCGCTCCTCTGCCCCCGCTTTCCCCCCCGCCCCCGCTTCCGTGTCTCCCCCGCCTTCCCCACCCGCCGCGGTTCCCCCCACCTTGGGGGCGAGGAGCGCGGGGAGGCAGTGGCGTGGGTCACATGAGCCGGAATTGGCGGTCTGCACCTTGTAGCGCACGTCCTTGAACTGCCGGGGCGGAGGGGAGGAGGGGGCAAGGGAGGGAGGCAGATACAGAGAGAGAAGGGGGAGAGAGTTAAGGCCCAAGGTGCAACAGGTGGCAGGGAAGGCAGGAGTAGCGCACGTCCCTGAACTGCCGGGGGGCAAAGGGGTGGGGAGGGGGAGTTGGGGAGATGTGTGGGGGTGGAATGATGAGGATGGGAAGGAGGAACGCGGATGTAAGCACTAGGACGGGAGTGATACAAAGGCATAAACAGAAGCTGTACTTGTAACGAGCAGGTCCTCCTAGGAGCATGTATCGAGTCTCACCTCGAATGTGATTGTAACCAGTCTCACCTTGACTGTGATTGTCTTGGTGATGTTCTTCCTGTTGTATCCGCTCATGGTGCGGGTTCTATCCATCACCTTGCTCTTGAGCCGCTTATACACCCCCGCCTTTCCCCCCTCCCCCCCATCGGCTCCTCCGCCACTCTTTCTCGCGGAAAGCTTCTCGGAAGTTTCTGCAACAACGTCCACCAGTCCGACACAGGTAGTACGAACGCCACAGTTAACGTCAACCACGACGTCGGGGTCTCCGTTCTGGTCATTGGCTGCCAGAGCAGAAAATCAGGTCCGGGACAGTTATGGGGGATGCGGAGGAGACGGAAGGCAAAAAAAAAAAAAAAAAAAAAAAAAAAAAAAAAAAGGCGTTAGAAGAGTTCCAGAAACGGGGTCTTTATGATTACCTTTTGTCTCCTTTCAGTTTCTCAAAATCGACAATCCATATAGTAAGCACACACTCCATTTCGTCACGAAATTCGTTCTCCACGCGGCATTACCCTCATACGGACCGTCTGGATGCAGTCTCTCGGCCTCCTCGCTCCCCCCGTCCTGGGGTTGCTCCTGACGAGTCATGGCGGACCGTGCTCGTCGACTCGAGTCGGCTATAGCCTAGCAAGAAGCGGCGACTGGAAATTACGGGAGTTGGCCGAGTGCGTCGCGACAACCGATTCAAACAGCCAGTGAGTCCGATCGCTGGTCGCGCTAGAGCGCCTGTCTTTATGGGTTGCAAGTGCCAGCAGCACCGATTAGTATATGTGCTGGCTGCCAGCAGACTGGATGTGGCTTCAGCCTAAGCACGTCCTACTGAAAGAGGTGAGTTACTTGGTGAAGAATGCGGGATAGGTTTCATTTCTCAACTGGTGATTGCCATTTGAAAGGACGAGGCTGTTCGATACTAGCCATGCCCTGTCGTGGCTTGACACATGACAGTAAGGGGGTGTCCGAAGTGAAAAGTCGACATCCGTTTGCGGACAATTCCAGAACATTTGTCAGGGGAGTTGGGGTACCATATGTCGGCGAATCCTGACGGTCGTAATCTTGAATCCGATGGCTGACATGCACCGACATCCAGCGACATCCAGCGTCGTATGTGACTTTGGACGCGCCCTAAAATCGACGTTCTCGCACAAAGCTACATTTTTACATTTTTCATGGAGTGTACGACAAGGGACAATGGTGGTCATAGCTTTTCCCATTCTTCTTGGATCGGGCCTTATAGACTGTTGCAGACTACCGTGGCCTGCCCACAGTGACTTGTTGTGAAAAGGCCGGCAAAGCAGCAATGGTTGGCAGGACAAGTAACGCTGCTCTTTCATATGGTGGCAGCATTTCCGCCTCGCTCACCGCACGGCCTGAAGTCTGGCGGAATTCAAGATGGCATTTTGCCATACTATGGAAAAAAACAGAGGCTGTTTAATAGGACCACGGCCTGTCGTCACGTGGCTTGACGACATCCCGACCCCTCAAAGCTTGGTTTTTGCAACTTCCATTTGGTTTGTCACGACACAGAATCGCTTTCTTTGTTTCCACGACACGTTACAGTCAGTACAGTACCGCTTTCCTGCTCTCACGAATGACGACACTCTCTGACAGAATCGCGGAAAGAACAAGATGTGCCTGCCCACAGGTGAATTTCGTCTGGTTCACGTAGCATGTACAGTACTGTAAAGTCGGGGTGGCAAGTCGTGTATACACGCAGCAAGTGCCCAAACGACTGCCAACTGTGGTTCCGACTTTGTCCTGACAACTTGGTCCTGACAAGCACAATCACGACTGCCAAGTTGGGAAATTTAACGGTTCTGCCAAGGTGCTGACCTTGTCGCCGAGTTCTACAGTAGTCCATTCACGTGGGCGAAATCCACGAACATTACCTTGTTCGACAGTGACACGAACCAAGTGGCCTGTATTTCCAACTACACAAGATGCCCAACCCCTGCACGCAAAATTGCCTCGCACATTCCAGAAACCTTGCACACGAAGGTTTTTTCCCGGGCAGTTGCACCCACGTTACAAGCACGTCAACCAATACGAACCACAGAAACAGAAGAGACCGAAGTCAAACAGTCAACGGTGAGTTACAAAATTTTGCTATAAGCCCTTTTTGCCCGATGCGAATTGACGAAACCTCCACGAAATGCATGAATCACTTAAGCGCCCCCTTCACAAGGCAACCTTGGGTTAGTCAAACGGACATCGTGTGTAGGACAGCTTTCAATGTGACAAGTACACCTAACCACCGCTATTTTCAAATCAGTCTATTTTTGTATACGTCGGTAAGCATTTCTGGTTTCTCCCAGACCAAGTGTTATGAAAGAGTAACTCAAATTTAGAGTTTGTAATGTTTCTCACTCCTCATAGAAAGGTTGAAGGTTGCTTAGAGAATCGCTAATAAAAAAGTGGCGCACGAAAGTGGGCAATCTCTAAGACGCGACATCAAGCTTAAGACGCGCAATCATATTCGGTTTCTTTAGGTAATCGCACTGATTAGGGAAGAAACGGTTCGGGAACCTATGAAATTCGTACCGGGACGTGAAGATGGCGGTGGTCGTGTGTACACGTATTACAAAAAGTGCAGCGGTAGAAAAAGTAGGCAGAAACATGACTGTTCGCGTTACTGCCTTTAACTTAGGCAAAGAGATACCTGCTATAGTAACTCATACTAATAATAATACTACGATACCATTTTAAAGAATGGACTATAAAATTACGTACGTCATATTACTTATCCCAGCACTCCCCATCAATTCTGCAGTTCGATGTTTTCGGTGTTATCGGTTACGTGACCAAGTACAGTTAGCATCATGCAGTACTGGAATTTCAGTCGAGAGTGTCGCTTGATCGAATAGTTTGCGAAATTTCGCTAATTGGGTAGTAGGCGAGCTGTAACTTGCCTTACTCGATTTCGTCATTGACAAAGAAGTAGCATAGCAGAATATGCTTTGTTCAATTGGCAAAACTTGACTTGTTTGCAATGCAGACCGCGAACCGATTGTCGCAAAAGAGTGAGAACAGTAACACGTCTAGTAGTTTTGCTTTATTGAGTAACTTGCGAACCTAGAGTCTGTTGGAGTAAGTAGAAAACTACTTAAACATTCCCAAAGGTGCAATGGTATCACACCAGCTATTACCGAAACAGCACCAGCAATAATATCGCGTTATATCATATAAGGCACATACGTCAACAGTCGCAAGTTAGCTGTCGCAACTGTAGACCAACATGGATCGAGCAGTTACCAGCTAAGAATCGCAACAGGCGTAATTGTCTGTACAGTCACGTGCAGCAACCCAATAACAGGAGAAGAGCAATAGGCGTGGTTACTATAGCAATACATGTGAGACATATGTAAGAAGGGATTGTACCCCTCAAATTATATGGCTAGATCTTTTAATTGAGTGTAATTTTATATTGTAGTCAATCTTGTCATCTATATTCATTATACACAGGGTTCCATCATAACCAAGACTTTCTCTACACTACTCTAAGCATGCCTATCCTATCTAAGGTTCTTATCACGACAAAATCCTTCCTTTGTTGTAGTGCAAACAGCGATAAAAAACGCCTCGGCTGACAAAAATGCTATCATCTTTTGCTTGTGTGATTGCCAAGAGATAGTGCCAACAGGATCCAGCCGGTAGATAAAACCATCTCGTGAGTGTGTGTTTGCAATATTGCCTGCGTGATCTGCATCTACATAGCCGAGAAGTGATAGCGATGTTTTAGGCCAGGGTTGTTTTAATCAGATTAATTACCTTGATTTTAAGGTGATTTCAAACCTATCACCTTATGGAGACCGAAATTTCAAAATTAATGGGTTCTCAACACTGATCCATTCAAACTAATACTTTAGGGGACCCTGAATCATTGTATACACTCACATAATATTATTTTGATGGTCCTTGTCATTACAGATTACAAGTCCTGTGGATCCCTAATGAAACATTATCAAGGCAAGGCTTCGAGAAACCTTTGTACGAGAACCCCCCATGTGTGTAATCACCCACCCCCTCCGCTTTATCCGGACGAAGTTTCTTCGAACCTTCATTCCGATACACCCACCATCGAGATCGTACAGTGCCGATGTAGCACAGTGCCAGCTCGGCTGAACACAGCACCACGGATCATACCAAAGTACACTCTCTTTTCTCCGAAAGATGCAAATTCAAAAGGTTGCTTGCTTGTCGTAACTGTACGAAAGTGAAATTAACAGAATGTTGTGTTACAAGGTTTTCAGCAAGGCATGTCACACAACAAAAGTGTGTATTTTCCAGCGCATCGACGAACGAAATGATCTAGCGATATCTGAAGTGTCACATTTTGGTATGACCGAATATGGGCATTTTTTCTCACGCCAAATATAGTTGAATCATCGCGAGGATTACCGCACACAAGAAGTATTCAACATTACGACAGGACCAGTTTCGATAATGCACAGTGCGTTACTTATCTGATCCTGACTTCTCAATCTTGAACGAACAGACTATATAACTTCTCAACATTGAGCAATCTGTGTGCTATTTTTTCTGGAAAATATGCCTTCACGGTGATGTTTTTTTTTTAAGGTTGACATCATGGTACCTAAATTTGAAATGCCAGCCCCGCTTTAGGCGACTTATGATAAGTTAGCCTGATTGTATTTGTAGATATGAAGCAGGCGACCGCTACTTCTAGATCATGTACATTTTCCCCTTCAGGTCGCTTAAGATATTGACCAAGCTGGCTAGCAGAAAATGATAAGTTGGTGTGGAAGGTGACTGCTGCAAATAATAAACTGCTGAAAAGTTGCTGACAACTTCAGCAGCCGATAAAAACAGTAGAGGTCGAGGTCGTCTATAGAAGGAAACACGTTCGAAGCTTCTCCGCGTAAACTTCTGCCGTCAGGTGAGTAGAGGTTGTTGACTCGATGATGTTTAGACCGAAATGCTGCGTCAGTTGAAGATCGTTAATGCGAGATCCGTTTGCAGCTCCCCTTCAAAATGTGTAAGAAGTGTCTCGATACTCCTGATGCAGAGTAAATTGTTAATGCAGACGATGCGTAGGATGAATGCACCGTCACGGTTAAGACAGTACATATCGTGATCGTGAGGTACCTGACGAAAGCCGATTTTAATCAAATGTTCGTGAAGATGCTGCTGCTAGAGGCGTGGCACATCTTTAATCTCATAGATTTATTAATTTAGCAAGCAGACCTCAGAATGATTCGTGACACACCCTTGCGGCTTCTCGACGAGGATTAGCGTATCGACGCGTGCGTAAAGAAAAGCAGTCGCC